CTTGGTGAGGCCACAGCTGGAGTACTGCATCCAGTTTTGGGCTCCACAATTCAAAAAGGATGCGGAGAAGCTTGCGAGAGTCCAGAGAAGAGCCATGTGCATGATCAGAGGTCGGGAAAACAGACTTTACAACGACAGGCTGAGAGCCTTGGGGCTCTTTAGCCTGGAGAAGTGCAGGCTCAGGGGTGATCTGATGGCCACCTGTAAGTTTATCAGGGGTGACCACCAGGATCTGGAGGAACGTTTGTTCACCAGAGCACCCCAAGGGATGATGAGGTCAAACGGTCATAAACTACAAGACCGTTTCAGGCTGGACATAAGGAAGAATTTCTTTACTGTCCGAGCCCCCAAGGCCTGGAACAGCCTGCCATTGGAGGTGGTTCAAGCACCTACATTGAACACCTTCAAGAGTAAATCGGATGCTTATCTTGCTGGGATCCTGTGACCCCAGCTGACTTCCTGCCCTTTGGGCGGGGGGGCTGGACTCGATCTTCCGAGGTCCCTTCTAGCCCTAATGTCTATGAAATCAGATTATATCATATTTTCTGCCAGCTGTATATTTACACGTTCATGGAAGTGAAGTGCCATCTTCTCAGTACCTGAAGACTTCCCTAACCAATTTCCTACAATCTCACTATCCTCTCCACTGTCACCACCTCCTACTAGCTTTGCATTAATCAGATTTGTACTGTAGAGACTAAGTTCAAAATGATTTAGAATGTGTTCATTTGGTTCCATTAGAAAAAGACACTTAGCAATATTTGTAACAGAATAAACCCCAGTAGGACCTCACCTATTAGACCTGCATAAAGTTGTACTGATCTTAACTGTTATCAAGCTTTAGAATCTTTCGGGCCCAATCTTGATGGATCCTGTCAACAGGCAACAACTACAATGGTTTTAAATCCAGATCATAAATTGCCAGTCCATCTGTGTTAAGAATCCTACACAAAGTTTAAAATGGAAGTAAGCTAAGGATATCCATGCTGCAGCAATGTTCTCGACTTGGGTGTGAGGCTTAATTGTTTGCCAGGTGCTTCAAAATCTCCAGATGAAGAGTGCAAAGCATGTGCTTTCTTCTTTGGATGCCAAAAAGTTACAAAATTCTCTCTCAACATCTATGTAGTACAATTTCTGCTCTTTAATCTGTAGGCTCTCAAATGACTATTTCTGCCATCTTGCTCAGAGAAACTGAATCTTACAGAAGTGTACTGTAGAATGTATTCATATATAAACATGTATATACAACACATTTTTTAAAAAAGCTAGAAGACTTGGCAAGCAAATGTTAATTTTGTTTCCTAGAGCTCCAACTAGTTCTTTCATTCAGAAATTTGAAACTTAGATGTGGCTTGTTTACACGAGATGCATATATGAACTCAAAGTATTTGGCCAAAATATTCTCAAAAGAATAGGGAGCCTCCAAGTTTAATACAAAGCCATTACAGAGTACTGCTATGATTAGAACATCTTCATTTTGTCTTCTATGAAACAGTAATCACGCGGGGGGCGGGAAGCCATTTAAAATGACCCTGATCACCAAATAAATTATACAAAACCTAAAAATAGATAAATATTTCAAGTGTGTTAAGATTTATGTACCATTTTAATGTTGAAGCGGAGCTGAAAACATGAGAAATCATTCCATTAAAGTAATTTCTTGTGATAATTCAGTTCCATAAAAAGACTATGCGATTATGGTTTTGAAGCTTGAAACCTGTATTTATGATAAGTCATGCATAGTATAGTTAAGCAAGATGTGATGCTAGCACACCACTTTTGACAACAGCTGTCTGGGCTATAGTAAAGCATTCACTACAGTGCTTTGCACAACATTACGGAAATGTAGCTCACGTATAAAAGACTGAAGACAAAGATGAAAGACATAAGGGTAAACCGAAATGTTGAGAGGGCCCAATAGGGCAGGGATCCAGTACTGCATTAACAGTAGCATAACATGGGGTGGACAAGCAGGGCACATATTCTGGGTACCACTGAAGAGGAGGGGCACCAAAAGGACCAAGAGGGGCAACACCTCACCCTGGTGTTGCTGTTTGCCATATTCTGCCTGTACTTCCTGGCTATAGGAAGCAGCTGATAGAGGCAATGTGTGTAATAGAGTGCAAGGCATTCTGGGAATCAATTTCCAAGGGGTTGGGGGGAGGAAACAGAAATGACTGCCCCACGACCATTTCTCCATTCTAGGCCTTTGGGTGTTGCAAAATCAACATTAGGCTTTCTAGTTAAGTTAGTGCCCATTACGGCTGTCAGATTAATTGCCTTAGCAACTGAAGAATTTTACACACTAGTAAAACAGCAATAATAGAACAGCAAAACAAGAAAAATGTTTTGTATGCATATTAATAGTGGGGACAATAAGATGTAGCACACATCAAAGTCTGACCCTGGCTTGCTCATGTTACCTTATTTTGCAACTTCAACTTGTATTGCCTTGAGGGAAATGAAAAAACAATGCTATTTATACCGATTGAAAGGCACTTGGAAACAGGAAACTTGGAAAAATGAAGTCCTCCATTAATACACATTAATGTAGGCAATGCCACCATAGCATCCTCCCATAAACGTGACCTGGAAGGTTGCCACCTCTGGGACAATGAAGGCAATTCAGTTTACTGGCCCACCTGGCCCACTGTTTTGTGTAGAGATTTGCATCTACTGCCTACACAAAAATAGACAAAAAGCCAAAGTGCCCTGGGGCTGGCTAATGACTAAGAATGTAATGCTGTTATACATCGAGAATGAAACCACACCTACAAAATCTCATCTTTCCAAAACTCAAAGAAGTTGTGACCCACAAATTTTCTGCACTCCCCCCGTTGGCTTTGCAGTAAGTTACAACTGTTCATGCCATAAATACAAGAGAAAGATGTTTGGACATAACAAGGAAGTACTATAAAAAACACATTATAACTTCATTCAGAAGACAGGAGAAGACAAATTGTCTGCAAGACGACAAAATTGGCAAAGAGAATTTCAGTTGAAGTTTAGGAATGTGTTACAGTAAAGAGCGCAAAACAAAATTAAGCTACTGGATTTATTCAACACCGTCTGTTACTTTAACTTCTGAGAATTAAACATGCAGCTCCTACAAGAGTGCTATGAAGGCACACTAGGCTAGTAACTAGGGTAATATAGAGGTAATCAGGAGATTTAGGTACCATTTCCAACTGTGGCACTCCCAGATTAGGACCCTGAGGCAAAAGAGGCATAGGTGAAGTGACTTGCTTAGCTGAAATGACAAACTGGATTTCCTTTATAAAGCTGAGAGCTATGGTTAGAGGAGTTCAATGCAAGAATCGAGGACCTTTATGAATCAGCCCTATACAGTTCAATTTTCATATGGTTAAGATAAAGCCTGTCAAACTGGTCACAATTATGTCTTTTTTTTTCTTTAGCTAGAGAAAGACTAAAGTGAAAGGATTGACTTTTACATAAAATATAATTTTTTTGAGCCTAAAATTGACTATGTTGATATGAAAATTTAAACTTATTAGAAATCTCTTACATGAAGCACTATGGTCTTGCTGATGTCACTAAAATGGAGGGGTTAATCAATGGCAGTTTTATCTGAAGTGCTAAGCAATGTAAAAAGGAGAAGTTCAAACAGAATTCAACAAAAAAACAGAATTTGGGCCAAAATGGATCAAAAGTTCTTTCCTATTTTTGACACTAATAGCAGGCTATTTTCTGCCAGCAATCAATAGTTCCAAATTTGGTGCATCTTTTTCATAGCAAGCACACTACAAGAAATATTACTTTAAATATCAATTGTGACAGAAAGTTCACTTGGCAAACAACATTCCAAATCAGCATGAATATAACCGAGGCCTAAAGGAGTCCTCTAGAGGCACCACTGCATTGAAAAATCAGCCTCCTGTTGGCAACGCAGGTAAATGGCACATACCAAATGCCTAGAAATATTAATTCAATACTAGTCGCATCATAACACCCCCAAGAGTCCTTTTCCTTCTACAAATTCAGATGTAGTCAAGATACACATCTGGCACTAGGTGGTTTAATCATCATTCTAGTTCTTAATTAATTTGTGACAACCAAAAAAAGCAGGGCGAAAAATTAACAGGTGGCAAAATAATTTGCCCACTGTATTAAACTGACCGACAATTATTCAATCAATATGGGTGCTTGTGCTTCCAAAAATGTGATAGTTAGCTTTAAATGGAACCAATATAGTATGCAGCAATAAAAGTGTAGTGACACAGTGCTAATAATTAAGAACACAAACTTGTGTGTAGGTGGATGCCTAAAATGTTGTTTCCCCATTTTATTTCTGAAGCTTGTTTTTGGGTAGGAATTCTTTAAAATACTGCTCCAAGATGAATATTTGTGATTAAAGGATTGCAGTGAGATAAGATATTAGGTATTGCTTATACATGTGTGACAGAGTACAAGGGCTCTCAATTTTTCAGTCCCTCAGAAGAGGATTCTCCATGAAAAAAACTTCTCAGCTCTAGAATAAGCTCCCATTTCTGAACAGGACTAGCCTACCAATATTTAGGAATGCTGCATGGAGGTTTGATGAGTTAGAAATATTGTGTTTTATGTCAGGTTGAGGTCAACTAGTTGTCAAGGAGCATACTACTATTTAATTTAATCTCTGTCCTTGCACTTTCGGCTAGACTGCCAACAGATTGGACCTTCTTAGCTTTAGATACATAACTGAAGCAAGCATTTAAGTGGCACACCCAAGAGCCTATGGCAAATAAGAGCCAGAAAACAAAATCCAGGAATGTCAAGTCCTAGCTTCCTGCTCTAGCCAATGCATAGTAACAGTTTTTCATTTAAGAATTACGTACCACTATAAAGTAAAGTAAAATAACATAACAATGGCATTACAATAGCACGCTTTTCAAGCACTCAGCCTTGGTTTCTGAGGCTGGGTTTCACTAGTTAGTGTTAAGTCAAAAGTATCATGAAATTAGGTTATAAAAGGTATTTTGGCTTTAATCAGAACTATTTACCTGTACGCATTTTTCGAAACTGGCCGAGGGTCAAACTTAAATAAAAGGATGCACATGGAGAACTGCTGGCAAAGTCTTGCTTCCTCCAAAAAGGCTCAGCGCAAGGTCATGCTGCTATAGCCTGTGAACAAAATATAATACAGTACAATAAAGGGGCTTTATTACACTGCAATTTCCAGAAGCATAACCTTATAATCATTCTTGTCTTTAAAGACCCTGCTGTTCTCATTAATAGCGTTCCATATTGAAATCAACAGGGCTGCAGAGACCTATTTGTCTCAATCTATGATTTGTCTGCAAAAGTCCTTGTTATTCTTGGTGGTTCATGTATTGCTGAAGTAAGAATTTAATTTTGAGTTTTGGGAAAAGAATGAACTAATGACAAAAGATTACTGACAGGTCTGATCAGCAACAACAGGTGTACTGTAACTTTCTCAACAATGCAAGGAAGATAAACACTTTATCAAAATTTTCCGCTCATTACCAATATAACACAATGGTGATATGTTTTGTTCTGCACCAATACTTCTGCAAAGATAGTCCTGTCAAGATTTAAGACAGACAACTTAACCAAGCACACCCAGGAATGCAGCAGCTGGGAAAAGCCTAATCACAAAAGTTCTTGGAGACAGAAGAAAATAACCTATCACTAAATACACCTTTCAACCGAGTTGAGGGAAGATAGGAAAATATATAATATTGTGGGGGGAAACACTGCTGGGAACAGAGTGTACCTTTCTGATGAAGGCTGTCTCTGCCCTTTGCAGCATATTTAAAATTGTGGCCACGTTCGAATGGCATGAAAAATGTTCTTTCCCGATTGGAACCTTACAAGGGGCTTTCAAATATTTTCTGCATTGTCCCAGCGAGAACTTGCCTGGTAATAAAGTTGCAACATGACCCTACTTTTCTTGCTCCAGATGTAACAAGCGTTAGAAGTTTACTAACTACACAAGCTTAAGCACACTGCACTGCCAGAGAGATCCATGTGTGAAAGTTGTCATAGTATGGAGGCAGGGTTAGGGGGAGAGAGGGGTTGGACATAATCAATACTTGAATCCTAGAATCACTCAGTAATTAAACTCATTTTGGTCCAGTGAGTAATTACTGAAGCAAATTGTACAAAAATATAGAAGTGCAAGTATTTTATAAATCACATAATGCATTAAAAGAACTAAGAAAGTCTTGTTATTTCCTGATACAGATACTGATTGTAATTCTAGGTCTCATTTTACAGAGCCTCTCTGAACCCTCCCATGATAATCCCACATTTTAATTTCAACAGAAGGAAGACATTTTCCACGACATTTCACACTATTCCACTTTTACTACTGAAAGCAGAACTACAAGTGCAGCATTTATACAGATTTTAAATTAGCAGCCTGCCAGTAGTTGTTGGCTTCTGTCAAGTCATGGCTCAGCATTGCAACAAGCCTGCTGTCACTGTCATTGTCATGGCACAACAAATTCAGTCCTCCTATCACCAATATTCTACCAAGGGACTCCTCTGTTGCAGCAGCTAAATAATCTGAAACTGAACCAGCAAACCAGACAGGACAGCCAGGGCAAGAGAGAGAGAGATTGGAGAGGAGGGAAATAGTTTTTTTTAATCTCTGTTCCTATACAAAAATAAATTACTCTTTCAAGCAATGACTTGATAAAGTGTTAGTTTGAGGCTCTGCTGGAGCGGGACCCCTGAAATATTCCTCTGCTTAACAGACTAATACCATAAACTAATGTCACAGAAGAAAGAATTCAAGTTGTTTAGTGTATGTTCAACCCTCCTCCTGCCCCCACCCTCCAAAAAAAGAAAACAAGCCTATGCAAGGTGGGTCATAAACGGATAAATAAAAAAAAAAATGTTTCAATGTAAAGGAAAGAAAGATGTGACATAAGACAACTCATTTCAAGATCTGGCTGTTTAAAGGAATGACACTAAAGGATCTTCTGAAAAAAGGGGAAGATTTGGAAAGCAATACTGTCCTTTTCAGGTTCCCAGTGCCGGACCACATTGGACCTAGGTACTCCTCAGCTTCCCTTGGCACTTGTGGGAAAAGACTAATCTGTAAGGAAGTAGACAATTGTTGTCCTAGGAGCTGTTAAAGGTAGGGGCTACAGTGCTGACTCCCCCTAACACCCAGTGTTGTGGATACTCTGGTTTGCAGTTTATTCCCCAATAGACACAATAGTTGAGGCATAAACACCAACTGTATAAAAGTTTCTAAACCAAAGAGCTTTTATATTTCTTGTGCTGGCTGCAGATCTAGACACCACCTATGGTCCATTCTGACTCAACTTCCTCGTCAACCAGATGTTCAGCAGGACTTGGGCCCTCCAGGAGCTCTCCAGTCATGACTTCTCTCCTGGAAAGTATTGTAGGCTTGATTTTCCAGACAGTTTTTTTGGACTGTGGCTGGTCCCAGCATCAAAAACCACACATTTTTTTCAGGAGCCTCTTCCTTTGTCACTCTCCCTTGCCCCAAGCCTTTGCCTCTAAACCCCTGCTCCATTACTTGTCCCATTGCACTTTCTCTTTGGGGGATCCCCCCATGCCCAGAACTTGGTCAAAACAGGTTTTCTTCCAGCTCAGGTAGCTTTCTCAGCATACCCATTTTTCTGCCCTTATAAAGTTAATCACATCTTGCGAGTGCTCTGCTCTATTGTTTCTTCTATAACCTAATCACAGCCCAAGGATGACTTATTATGGTGGAAACCAACCTTCTTGGCAGCTGTGCCACAAATAAGCCCTGCACCCTCCCTACTTGTCACTCCAATCCCCTCCCCCCTGTTGCTCTGCTTTCTGCTCCCCACCCTATCTATAACTGCGCTGCCCGTCCCCCCCCGCTCTGCTGTATAATATACACAGAAGCTACTTGTGGTGTATGAGCTGCAGGATGGCCACCCGTTAATTATTACATGTCAAAACATTCAATGATATGGCAAGTTAATACGATTAATCAGAATATCTAAATTGCATACATCATATGCATATATGCTAAAAGTCAAGTTCTCTTTAGAACAGCAAATAATATTGATTACAGATTGACAATATCCAATACTACCCAGTTCATTACAGTATTGACAATCATCTAGGTTAACTACTGCCCTCTATCAGATGAAATCAGGAGCTATATATTACAAAGTTAGCTTTTTAGCTAAAGAAAATTCTTCATTTGTTGTCAGTAGTCGTCACAACATCTTCTCTCAAGACGTAGCATGGCACTGATTAAAACCAGCAGGAAGAGATGATTCTGACTGATGGAAATTGGGATCAGGCCCTCAAGTACAAGCTACTAGGTGAGGTACCAATTAGACTGCAAGCTCTTTGAAACAAGGGCAGCGTACCTGCTTATTGGCACAGCACCTAGCATGAGTGCTCAAATCAGAACCGGGGCAGATGTAAACTATTGTAAGATGCAAAGGAGATGCCTTTACCTCCTTCCTAAGCTGTGCAAGTACCTGAACTCTCAAATCTTTACAAACTCACAAAAATCACATACGGCACACACTGAGATGAAACAGAACTTTCAGTATGGAAGAAATCTTTCGGTGGAAGTCATTACCGACTGAAGATTCAGTTTAAGAAGGAAAACATCTTGCAACTAACTAAGTATTGCTATTTGGGTCACTATAAAAGTCATGCCATAAAATAGATTTACTTTAGCCAACTGCTTGTTACTGGGTTTTATCCTTCAAGTATACTTCTCACAGACAACTCCATAATTTCACTGAACTGGTATGAAGTCCCTGACGATACCTTGATTGAATATAGAATTTAAAATAAAGACAATGAATGACAACTGACCGGCATTATATTTGTGCTGGGCAAAGTCTTCCTTCCCACTTTAAATTCCAAGACGGATTGCTGTGTGGGCAGAGAGATTTATGTGATTGCATTCAGTTGCTTTAAAAAGCACTTTTTTCTGACTTGGTTCCTCAAGGACACACAATAAACTGCAGACTAGCTTCATAAGTCCTGTCGTGAAGGCACCAGAAGTTAGTAGTTTGCTTTCTTCCAAATATCCCACACACACCACTTTTGTTTTTTACACTCTAAAAAAAGAAAGAAATAGATTTCTGGCAAGAAGAATCTTGTGTTCTCACAGGCACCTGTTAATTGGAGGGCTAGGCACCAAGCAAGTGTTTCAAAACTTTTCTTCATTTCCTGTCTTATGTTAAGAATACAGGAATAATAATCAATCAAATCAGTATCTGACAGCCCATCTCAATAATTAAATTAAAAACCATAATAAAAACATTTTCATGGGAAACACGTTAGAAAAATTCAGACCACCTTAGCAATGCATGATCATCAGCTAAGTTACAAAGAACACTGCATGCTGTGTAGGGCAAGAATTGTGTTCTGCTTTCATACAATAGCCAATACTCTTGGGTCCAAAGCTTATTTTTTAAGTAAAAAAGCCAAATAGCAGGCTTCAGCATGTTCAAAATTAATTCAGTTCAATTCTATAGTTCAAGCATTACTATCTTGCTTGTACTTTTCTAAAAATCCTGCTCTTTTCACCATGCACACACTATTAGGGAGAAAGGAGATTAACTTTACATTGCTAAAACAAAAAGCCACCTTATTGACACATAAGCTATTGACTCATCAGGGATACTGTTGATGGATCCAAAGAGAGAGTCTTATAAGTCAAGAGGAAGAAATATAGGATTGATCCCAAAGGTTGCTCTGAAAGGGATACAACCAAGTCTTTATTCTTCCAGTCCTCATGCTGCCTTTAAACTGTTCCAAAGCTTTGAGTATATTCCTTCTGCTCTTCCTGCAAGATGTCCTGCCTGCTTTGTATTCATTTAGTCTAAATATATATATATTATATATATATATATATATATATATATATATATACACACACACATATACACACATTTACTCACCATAAATGCTATAAAGGCATGAAAATAGCAGAAGCTTGCAAAGCTTATAAAAATGGGATCTAAACTAGATTGAGTATTCTCTTGTCCAATTATTTTGGGCTACAGTGATGTTGTACAAATGAGCTAGAAATTTACTTGTAGTTACTTGAGGCTTTGTTTAAAATAAGCCAAGAAGTTGTTCAATGAGCATAATTCTTCAATGAGCAAGCAATGCATCTTTATTACCAAAAAGGTGTCATACAGAGGCACTATCCTTCAAACACCAAGGAGAAAAAAGAAAGTGTTGATGGGTTAACTCAGAGGCCAAGCTATATCTTATATTATAGTGGAGACCAGAGTTTGGACAAACTCCATTCAGAGAGTATCACGATAGCTAAAAGGTACACTGATGTGTCGATCCATGTCATAAAAGGAAAACTGACGTGATCGGCAATTGGCTTTTTTTGGTGGATGTGGCTGATAATGTTACCAATAAGTGCCATGTGCACGTGTGCAGCCACAGCATGCACGTGGCCAGGAATGCAGCCCGGCAGCTTGGACAGCAGCACCTGCCTGGTAAGTCTGTGGGGGAAGGGGAAGAGGGGCAGATCAAGGCCCCCACTTTGAAAGAGGGAGTGGTGCAAGGGCTGCCTAGTTGGAGTGGGGTGAAGGAAGAAGCTGCAGGTAGCTCGTCCTGGGGGTGTAGGGGGAGGGTGCAGGTCCCTGCTACTGCGCACAGCCCTGGAGGGGGGTGGAGGGGAGAAGGGGCATATGCTTCCCAGATCTGTATGTGGGGCAAGGGCAGGTTGCCCACTGCAGGCTGGGCCCAGGGGCTGAGCCAACCTCTTCCTGGTGTGGGGGGCTGCACTCGGAGCAGGGGCTATGGTGAATTTTGCGGTGGCTATAGCCCACCTGTAACACCCCTCCCAGCACCACTACCAACAGCTGCCCTGGACACAGCCCCTGCCCTGCCCCTGCCAGGAAGAGGCCAGTGCAGCTCCCAGTCCTCAGCCCGCCCTTGCCCTATGCACAAATCCAGGGAGCACATGCCCCACTATGCTTCCCCCAAGGGTGCGTGCAGGGACACGGCCCCTGCCCCCAGGCAAGCCACCCGCATCTCTGCCCCACACCCTGCCTCGCCCTGGCTGAGCAGCACCTGCTGCTGCCCCACTCCCTCCCTTACCATGAGGGCCTTCATCTGCCCTCCACTCCCTACGCCCCTTCCCCCACCCCACCACAGACTTACTGGCCAGACACTGCTCTCCACGCTGCCAGGCTGCACATCGGCAGTTGGCTCAGTATCAGCAGATATGGCTCATTAATAAATTGGCCATTGGTATTGGCCAAAAAAAAAAAAAAAAATCTTTATTGGTGCACCCCTAACAATAGGTTAATACTTCTTTTTAACCTTTGTTGGAACTGAACAAAGAGAAGGGCATCTGCCTACATCAGAATATACCAGCCAATTTCAGGAAAAATATTAAAGACTCAGAAGGAAATACCTTCCAATCCTCAGGTGTAGACGCAGGCAAATCAGAGCAGGAGAAAATTGGTGGAGACTTTTAGAAGAGTAGGGAAGCCCACTCCAGGAAGACAAAGGGATATAAACACCCAATTTTAAACAGGCAGCTGTCAGGCTTTTCACAACCCTTATGGAAATAACTATCACAGTTTTTGCTGGGTACCCTGCCAGCAAATTAATTGGATTACTCAGTCAAAACCTGTTGACAGGTAATTGCTCGTAACCACTCAAGAGTATTTTTATAGAGATTTCAGTCTCTCCATTACCTGATTTACAAAGTTTATTTTGAACAGTCAATCCAGTCACACACTAAAAAGGAAAAAAAAAATATTGCAGCTGTTCGTGCCAAGCCACTGCCCAGCACAGACTCAAATAAAAACTGTTGGCATAAAACATATCTCGAGCTTTAAATAGAAATGAGAGAATAGGCTTTTTTCCCCTGAAGTTTTTATATTGCATTTTGTAGATTGTTTTAAAGGGATATTACAAATGCTTTTCAACTCTCCATTTTAATACTGTTCTAAGTTGCAAACAGCTTCCATATTTATTTTGCAGTTCTGTTTTGGCATAACTCTCATTCTACCCACCATTTCTAACAGAGCTTGAAAACTGACATGGCTCTCTATTTACTTGAAGCTTTCGTACACTGTTACATAAGCTACCAAAACAGAAAGTTAGTTAACACATACTCCACCTCCTCACTCTGAAACAGAGCACTATATATTGTAGGGCCTACACAACCATTTAGTATATTTTTGCAGCGCAAGCAGTTTTTGCATTAAACACATGAAGACTTAAAGCTGACAGTAATTTTAAAGCTACAGCAATTGAAACCTAGCTCTTCTCTGGAGCACTGTTAAAAACTGCTTCTTTAAAAACAGTTCAGCGCATAAGAAGAGTTGTAGTACCTTCTTTGATTAAAACAAATACTGTATTTACTACATTGTGCTGTGTAATTTAGTAAGAGGGTAGATTTATAGAAGTTAATTTCAAACATGTAAAAAGACTGGAAGATTTGGATATTTACCTGCAATATTTGGAACTTTAATATTGCACTAGTGACCTAAAGACAACTGGAATAAAAATATAATGTGTAATTTTTAATAGCTCAAGCCACAAAAGCAAGCAGTAACTAATATAATGAGACTTAATCTAGTATTTTAAATCTAATTTAATAGTGGGTGTATTAAGTTATGAACTAAATATACCCACATTAACCCTTATTGAGAATCTGGCCCACAATTTAAGATGTAAGGGACACTGAAAAGTGTAAGAACTATTACAGTTTGCTGGATTGAACTGGAAATCCCATCTTGGGAAACCAACAGAGATGTTACAGTACTGATCTCATTCTATTTTACAGCAACATTAAAAGGAAAGGCCAGAACTCATGGTAGGTCTTACCTTGGCAGTGATGCAACCTATACTCCCAAGACAATATTAGTACAAACAATATACTAAAGGTTGAAAGCATTAATCCAAACTATCCACTCTTATTAGTTACTGTAAATTCACTTTAATAAGGAATTAATAGTTCAGGGAGATAAGCTGGAGGTAGAGGCAATGTTTAGGATATCCAAGAAACTTCTTAAACAGTCACTGGACTGATTGAGCTTAGCAAGGAAAGTTCCAACTGTTATCCAAACACTACCAATTGTGTAGTTAACATCTACTAAAAAAGACAATTTAGATTAATTAAATGTTGAGTGAGAAGTAAATCAACATATTATTGCAACACCCAATATTACAACATACAGATTTTTATGAACCAAATAGCTGGAGTGAGGGAAAAAGCGAGGAGGAGACAGAAAACAAGAGACTCTAGGGACAAATTAAAAAAAAGAAACCATACAAGCCGGACCATCAAGGTATGATGGCATTGCAAACAATTTGTACTTCACTTACCAACTTGACTCAGACCATGAAGGTTACTTGAGGAAAACAAAAGCTAATATGCGACTCCAAGGAGAGTGGAAGTTGTACTTAGCATAGAGAAAGTCAGGCTCTGGAAAACAGGAACTATCTGTGCTGTGTCTAAATACAAAATAAATAAAAATAAAAATAAAAAATTAAACAACTGTATTGAATTGGGAAAGGGAGGGAAGAAGTAGAAAGGCAGACTCTTGACTAAGAGGAACAAAAAGGAACTGGGAAAAGGTCTGAGCTCTGATATTACAAAAAACAAGGCTGGAAAAGGATCTTGTTCTCACCCTAGCTTTAAAGAACACAGGGCTCACTGCTAAATTCACGACAGTTGCAGCTTTCCACAAACACTGTGAAGGTTAAAAAGAGGCCAGTAACACTAACTGACAGTGATGGAAGTATTCACTTGTTAAAGCTACTTTGTAGGCAAGAGATGGCAGATTTGAGCCATTTAACAGTTTAACTCACAATTTTAGTAAATGTTTTTAAAAGATGTTCTGTTAAATATCAAAAAAGGTAGGAGAGAGAAACTATCAAATTTATTAAAAACCAAACTAAACTACCTCAAAAAATATTTTTCTCTAAACATGCCACTTTCCTAAAAAAAATAAAAATATTAAAAAAAATTAAATGTCTTCACATAATACATCTTCCAGGGGTCCCTCGGATGCACGTGCATTTCGAGATGTCCCATCAGTTAGTAACACTGAAGTATTGCTACAGGTCAGTCACCGTCTCAGCTGAACATTGGTTGCAAAAACAGCAAGCTGGCTATTACAAACAGAACTAAAGACAATTCACATGGAGAGTTATCCATTTAGGTAACTGGGGTAAGACAGCAGATGCAACTGCACCATATTCTTGTGCGAGCTACTATACATTTCACTGCATCATTTTCAAGAATTCATGGTTTAAGAAGAATATACATTTCCACATGGAGACTCTGGGGGTGTTTATACACATGCTCCAG